TAAAATTTTGCAAGCAGATAGCTTATAACCTACTGTAGAAAATAGGCTAATTTTTTGGAATAGTTGCCACCTGTTAAAAAAGTTTAATTAAATTAATACGCGGAAACGACTAAACGGATTTGCATGAAATTTTGCACACAGATAGATTGTGACCTAGGTTAGAAAGTAGGCTACTTTTTTTAAGAGTTGCCACCTGTTAGAAATGTATAATTTAATTAATACGGGGAAATGAGTGAACTGATTTGCATGGAAGTTTTCACACAGATAGCTTATGAGCTAGGTTGAAAAATAGGCTACTTTTTTAAGAGTTACCACCTGCTAAAAAAGTTTAATTAGATTAATACGCGGAAAAGTCTGAACGGATTTGCATGAAATTTTGCAAGCAGATAGCTTATGACCTACAGTGGAAAATAGGCTAATTTTTTGGAAGAGTTGCCACCTGTTAAAAAAGTTTTAATTAAATTAATACGCGGAAATGACTGAACAGATTTGAATGACATTTCGCACAGAGATAGCTTATGACCTATGTTGGAAAATAGGCTACTATTTTAAGAGTTATCACGTATTATGAAAGTTTAATTAAATTAATACGCGTAAATGACAGAACTGATTTGCATGAAAGTTTGCACACAGATAGCTTATGACCTAGACTGGAAAATAGGCTACTTTTTTAAGAATTGCCACCTGTTTGAAAATGAAATTTTGCTCAAAGATGGTTTATGACCTGGATTGAAAAACAGGCTACTTCCTTAACCGGTTTTCCGATCAGAACGAAATTTAGTACACTTATTACGGATTTCGGAAGGATGGTCTTAGACTGAAAGTAAGTCCGATAACTCAAGGCCCCTCCCATACAAATTGGAATTTTCATATTACATACATATCTCTGGAAGTATTTGTGGGAGAGAACTGAAACTTGGTATAGTGATATCTATGTGAAATCAATGATGGCATTAATCGATTGATGTTTTAATCAGTTAGTTAATTCGATTAAATTCAATCTGATTACAGTCAATCATGATTAATTTTAATCTGACTAAACAGTTAATCGTGACCGCGATTAAAAAATTAATTTTTAATCATTAAAGCAGTGTTTACATTATTCAACTTTGCGTTCAACAATTGCGTTCAACTCAACGCAGGGTTGCACGAAAAAAAAGTTGAATGGCTAAATGTTGGCTGGCGACCAACTTTGTTGAAAGCGATTAGTTGAAAGGCCATTCAACCAAAAGTTGAATGCAAAGTTGAACAATGCAAACACCTTTTTATAGCGAATATTTTGATATTTTTAGCAATTCAACTTTTTCTTCGTGCAACCCTGCGCTGAGTTGAATGCAAATGTTGAACGCAAAGTTGAACAATGCAAACACACTTTAACTCTTAATTTGATCAAGTAGGTTTGGTGATTAATTAAGTTATGCTGGAATTTCCCTGTGCACGCAAAGCAAGTTAATCCGGTATGGCTAAGTCGGGTTTCCTCATCCATCTAAGCAATTTCGTGTGCATTTTCATTAAGATATATACCAACAAACGTTTTACAAACTAGGTTTGTAAAAGTTCCCAGTTTATGTATTACTAATAACAATAATTATAATTTTTTTATATTATGTGCTTTTTATAAGCGTAAAACACAAAATAATTACTATAACTGGTGTTTGGTTTCAAACTCGGACAAACTAGACAAATTAATCAGATTTTATTTTTAATTGGATTAACGATTAATGTTTTAAATTAATTAAACGGAATCGCAGCCAGCGATTAACGATTAAAAAACTGTCATCATTAATCGTACAGTTGATTACGGCTAATTAATTTTAATCGTCAAACGCGATTAACATTTTAATCGTTAATTTTTAATCGTTAATCAAATTAACAGTTTGCCAACACTGTGCAAAATGGAGAAAAACGGACGTTTTTGGAAAAGAGGCGTAGCACCTCCCACACTGACTGAAAGTTTCATATTGCATATCCCTTCAAATGTTTGGGGTAAAGTACTCAAGGTTGGTATGGAAATACATATGTATGTATGTATGTGAAACTAATACCATACTCATGGAGAAAAATGAGAGTTATTGGAAAAGGTGATGTGGCAACTCCCATGCAAATTGATTTTTCTATGCTGCATATCTCTGGAGGTGTTTATTGCAGAGGACGGGAATTTGGCACCGAGATGTGTATACAAAATTAATTCCATACTCATGGAGAAAAATTTGCGTTATTCGAAAAGGGGGCATGGTACCTCCCGTACAAATTTACTTTTATACTGCATATCTCTAGAGGTGTTCATGGTAGAGTACTGGACTTGGTACTGGGGTATGTAAAATCAATTCTAAATTCATGAAAGAAGATTAGGGTCATAAGAAAAAGGGGCGTGGCACTTACTGTGCAAATTGACTTTTTCTTGCCACATATCCCTGGAAGTGTTTGTGGAAGAATACTGGAGCTTGGTATGGAGTTGTGTATACAAAATGTTTCAATTGCTCATGGAAAAACTGTGAGTTATTAAAAAAGGAGGCATGTCGCCTCCCATGCATACTAAAAATTTCTTAATACATATCTCTGGAAGGATAGAAAATCTTTTGAAGTATTTTAAATTTGTTATGGAGATTTATTTCATAAGTGCCGTACTGATAGCAAAAATTTCTTTTAATGGAAAAGGGAGAGCCGGGTTCGGCCTTATAATCTAAAGCTCTCTTGAGGCATTTGCTACAGTAATGAGAAGTGGTATTTTATCAAGGCCAGGTTACTAAATTTGAGTTGGAAATATTAGAACCCGCCGTGGCACCTCCAAGAAGGTTACATGTTTACGCGTCGTATACCTGGAACCATTTTAAGGTAAACTTAGTTTTAAATGGCCTAAATACCTTAACTCGCTTAAAAAATAACGAGCTATAACGAAATGGGCACAGAAATAAAATTTAACATCATTAAATTATTTTTCATATTTGTATAAAAGCGCGGGGTGAAACCCGCGGGTATAAGCTAGTTTTTAATAATTTGGATTCAATATTTACTGAAATGTCGTAGTTTTTGCATTTTTCCAAAATGCCGTTATATGGGAAGTGGGCGTGGTTACAATTGAATAGCAATCTACCTTGGGTAAAGGGCAACCTAAATACATACCAAATTTCCTTGCGATATCTCAATCTTTTCACGAGTTATCGTGTTCACGGACGGACGGAAGGACGGACAGACATGTCCTAATCGGCTTCCCTATTCATTCTGAGCATTTAAGTATACTTTATACTTTTGAAAAGTGCATAGCTATGTAAACTGAAGGGTGTGGTGCGGATTTCTGAAGAGCACAATAGTACACAGCATATTTTAAATACGCCAATTTCTTGATTACATGGTACAGCCAAGTAAAATCACTGCGTATGAAACTTTTTTGAAAGCTGCCAAAAAATGTGTGTATATGCATGTATATATGTAGTACTCACATGTAGGTACTTAGCAAATCTATACACTCTTCTAAAAGCACCCCCATCGTTAGAACCAAATATCGCGTTATAAAAGGCAAATAATAACCTTTCTTTTAGCTCTGGGTCTATTGCTTTTCGTTGTTAGCAATTTATGTACTCTCTATTACATGCACTTTTCCATGACATGCTGTCATTGTTGTTATAATTAACCTTTTTTCTTTGAACAAAGTTAACTAACTATGAATAACTATGGAAACATTGCTTCCGTTACATACATAAAATATTTTATCGCGACATGCGATTGAAAGTGTTCACCGTCAGAAGTTCATTTGAGTACATTGTCGAGTGGGCTAGCGATGAGCATTTCATATCGGGACTGACGGGATTCATAGGATGCTGATGGAGCATGATTGGGATATCAAAAAAAAAAAAATCAAAAGCTTAAATGACTTCGCATACGAATGAACTACGAATACAAATAGGAATACGAATAACTCGAATTTGAATACGGATACCAGCACTTATTTATTTAGTTCCTTCGACTACATACATATTTTGAATAGCTCAGTGTTAAAAAATCAACGTTTTGACGGAAGGAAAATATAGTAGAGCTGATAATTTCTGACTATCGAAAACATCGATGGATTTGTAATCACTATTGATAGTTTTCACTCATACATACATATATTATTCAGTAACATACATATTTCAGAGTGCAGATGCTGTTTGAAGTCAAAAATCATTGATAAATTTTTGCTACTTAACAAAAATATCGACATATTTTCGCAAATCTGATCTCATTTTCAATAAAAATCGTTGTGTTTAATTTTTGGACTTTTTTAATAAAAACTATCGATAGTACTATTTTCGATAGTATTAATACTATCGATAGTTGTGACTATCGACTATCGAAACTATCGATTGCCACATGCATCCAGCTCTAAAATATAGACATTTTCCCAATAAGGACCTCAAAATAGTAAAAAAATGCAGAATAAATAAACTGCATTTTTAATTCATATTGTCCATTCACTTGCGCTCAGAATAAAAATCAAAATTTCAAATTATTTGGTATATTATTTTGGTGTCGAATTACTATTCAAGCCAAACTCGGGATTGAATTCGAATATTTCTGCACTACACTCATCTCTAACAAAGTGTGTGAGCACAGTAAGTTCATCGATGGTATCAGTATGCAACATTCTCTCGTCTACCCTAATTACAAACACAAAGCTGCTGTAAGGCAGTCTAATTGACAGATTGCTCGCAAATTTGACACGTATGAAAATCAAGGTTTCAACACTAATTAGGCGAGCACACAAAGGCTTATTTGTGTAGTGTGGAAACTTAACACGTCCTTAATAATGGCAGGTGCTTTTATATGTAATTATTTTAAAAATATGAAACAGTAGTGCAACGTATAAATTGTCATTATTAGATAGTATCAGAAAAAAATCGATAGATTTTGCATTTTCAGATGAGTAGTATAACTAATTTACTATGAAAGAGTGTTTTTTTATTTACATTTCATGTGCAGTCTTAATTTATAGCCTTTAACCTTGTAGAATAAATACTCACCAAATTCAGGCGTAGTCGTTTCGGGAATCATACTAAAAGTGTTAACTGCGAAGAAATTGTCGCCCTCTTCACTACGAACTGCTGGAAACAGGAAGATAATAAAAGCTGCATACATCACATACGAAATTGTTAAAGAAAGACGTGGGTTTATTGCGGAAATTTTCTGCGAGGTCGATCCAGCGCTCAGACTGGCAAGCAGCGAGGAGATTCTAGCAGCGGAGACGACCGATTGAAGTGGCGCCTGTGGCAACGATTTGCCCATTGACAGCTTCTGCGCTAACACCACCGACGACGGCGCCAATAATGCGCTCCCAGAATCTCCTGCATTGTGTTGACGTTTATCACAATTGTTGTTAGCCCAACTATACAGCATCAGCGCCTCCGGTATGCTTAGCATTTTTGCAGCGTACGTTTGAATATTGAGTAACGATGTTGCAAATCCACAGACCGTGAACCAGAAGACCGTTAGAAATGGCAATGCATTGTAATTGTAATTGGTGTCGGCCTTAGTTGTGGCGCCATCCATGCTATGTTTGCCCTCTGTTGGCCGCCTACCTCTTCCAGTTGAATCAGGGCCCAAATTGCGATTGGCCCCAATTGCACCTTTAGCAACCGTAGTCATTGTGTCAACAACGTTGCTGTGCAATTCGCTTATACGATGAATATTCTTAAAATCGGTGTTTTCGTTATTTTGTGTTAAAGCTTTCGTAGAGTAAGTTAGATTTTCATTAATTCTATAAACTACACATTTGAAGTTTTCTATAATGTTTTTCCTTTCGGAATTTATAGCGTTGCGATTGTTTGGATCATTTCGCATCAGCTCATAACAATTGTGTGCATCATAATTATTTTTGTTTTTGTTTTCATTTTTATTCGTGTACGTTTTTAACGTTAAGTTGCTGTTGTTGTATATATGTTGCTGTACCGAACGCTTTTCGCTAATACTCGATATGGGCCGCAGTGCAACAATGACTGTTCGGTCCTCAGCAATGGCAACATTTGCGGCAGCATCAGCGATCACGAAAGCATTAGCGCAAGCGGCAGTTGTGAAGACAGCGGCAGCAACAGTGATAATTTGAAGCGATAACAATAGTTGAGACGGACGTTGTTGGTGTTCACACCATTTGCTAGCATTTGAGTTGTGTTCTCTAGCGTCTTTACTACGACTGCCAGCAGCAGTGGAGACGAAAGCTTTATTCTGGGGCTTTACAGCCCCATCTGATCTCATATTACGTCGTCGTCGTGGTCCTCATCCATTCTGTTCGAGTTTTGAAAAACTAAAAAAACGTCTAGATGTCCGTTTTCAGATTTGCTGCTAATTTTTTAACATCAAAAATCTGAAAAAGAGAACAAAAGAAAGAAGCTTTTGATAAGTTAAGTTGATATTTGGATATATACATTTTTACACAAACTCAAATTTTACAAAATATTAAAATTAAATACTGGTATTTATCAAATGGAATTAGTAATGAATTAAAGAAAATTTGTGTTCTTTCACATTCAATTCGGGAATAAGACAAATTTGCGCTATTGCCGTTTGTGGACTCGGATTAAGTCCTACAACAATTAATTTTTAGATTTTTTTAATTCTTTTAAATAAGGATATGATTATAAAAAAATTAACCACTCTACTTTAAGAGAGCTCTTACCATGCTAAGGTCATAGAAGAACCTATCTTGGTTGTGGCGGCTGTTTGAAAGACTTTTGCACTGGATTTATAATTATGCAACGGAGTGTATACCCGATTGTAGTTGCGTATGTAACGTATACGCCCCGTAGCACCATTAGCTGTCATCTACACGTTTACTCGTACGCCTCAACTTTAAAAGTCATATTATTTAAGTGTAATTAAATATTGGCATGCAAGATTTTTGACACAGCATTCCTTATGCACATATATATTACTTCCTTCATGTATAAGGATTTCAGAATGAATTTCGAGTGTGCCAATAAAAATTGTAAAAATCGAATTTTAGTTTCTCAAATCATAGTCATCTTTTACTCTATGTAATTTTTTTCCACTTGCTCACACACTAATTTCATTACACTAGATTCGTTCCTTTTTTGGCAATAAGAACATTTTCATTTACATTTTAATATTTTAAAGTATCTTAAGTTATTACAATTAAAAACAGGTAAGAGCGGCGCCGTCTTCGGCTATGCCGAGGGCTTCATACCTTTCATGAGTATCAGATAGAGCAGTTACATATAAAAAAAAGTCATATCTAAACAATCAGAAGTATGGATATAACTTATATAGCACCAATCTAAGTGATTTTCACTGCTGTGTGATCAGTATGTAAACAGTTAACACAATTTAATGGGTTTAGCTTCCTACATAAAGGAGATAATCGTAAAAGCTGGTATCTGAACAATCGGTGGTATAGGAGATAAAGCTTATACCGCATAGATTTTGACGATTTTGTTAGTAAACTTTGTATTATTATTTATAAAATAGCCAAACAGACGGACCGACGGACATGGCTAAATCGACTCAGCTCGGCGTTCTGATCAATATCGTCGTTTAAAGTGCAAAACCGCGTATCAACAAAATGCAAAACCGCGTATCAGCAAAATGCAAAACCACGTATGTGAAGTTGTAGAAATTATTTTCTAGAGCGTAAATACACTCAAATTTCAAAATGGTTCTCTTTTCTATAAAGCAATCGCATTTCTGGCTAGTATATTTTAGGACGAATGGATAAGGCCTGAGCCAAGAGCTTGTGTGAGCAAATCTGATTTTTGGCAGCCAAAGTCAATTACGCGGTTTTTCAGAATGACGATACGCGGTTTTGTACTTTAAACGACGATATGTATGTATGAATATGAATTTAATTAATTTCCTTTCTTTTGTATGTACATATAAAAATATGTATTTTAAAGTGCATAATAATGAGATGCCGAAAATTCTTAAAGAGTTCCGCGGAATGAAATTCTTTGAATGCAAAGTATAATTACATAATTGCAACTAAAAATTAGGGTAATTGTAAAATGTGCAGGTCTATGGCACATTTAAGGGCTCCGTTAGCTTTGTTTGACTTGACTTGGAAACTGTCCGATAATGAATCTGCTAAATGAGCGTGTAAGCGATTACCCAACGCATAGATTTACATGAAAGTTTATGTGTGTGTGTGTGAAAGAAAATGTTTATGTGCTACGTGAACTACTGTTACAAATATGTAACAGTTTTTCAAAACTTTTAAGGTAATCATGGTTTGAAACAAGAACGGAAATTATAGTATTTTTTTTAATAAGCTAACGCGTGTAGCTGATTTGAGCGATGAACTTTTAAACAAGCTAACAAAAGCTGAGAAGACTAATCAAATCGTGAGCCTCAAAAGCATTTTTACGTTGGCAAAAGCAAAGTATTGAACAGCAAACAAAATTGTAAAGTAAAAGTAGTTTTAAATGACTGGAGAGCAGAACCCGTTCCACCCTTCGGCCAGGAATCGGTCCGTTGTAATAGCGTATGGGGCTACCAATCCCTTTCGATGACATCGCCTAATTGAGCACAAGCCACTAAATTTTTCCAATGGTTTTATTTCTTTTCTGACAGGGCTTGTGAAAATAAATAGTCTTGCACATTTGCTTCTTTTCCTGTTATCTTTCCTGAGAGCCAGGTGTTATGGCGGTGGATGGAAAGCTTTACAGGTGCATTGGTAATTGATTTGTATGAGGAAGATGGTCATTGGTATGTATACCGTCTACTCTCTTGGAAGGTTGTAGGTCGTGACACAGTTCCTTGCCAATTATCTTTCTCTATAACGCTGTGCCATCTTAGCAAGTACGTAAGAAATGATCAAAATGTATCTGCTCCCAGCAGGGCTTTGAGCGAGCCTCCATGCTGCATCTTGGTGGCCAACAATTCCATTTGATATTCACTGTCGACGCGCCTAGCACGGTCGAATATCTAGAGGTGTCCTTGATCTATGAGACGGCTTCTTTAAACATTGCTTCTGAAATAAAGGCCATCTCCCGAAGAATATGGCTTCATTTTGTTCTTCTCAGTACTGAGAAATTCAATTTACGAAGGAAGTCGTTATTTAATTATTTGCAATTTTCTCTCGTCATTTTTAATAAAACAAAAAACACGGCTACTTCAGCTCAACTGATCGATAGCCGTCAATCTAACTTATCTTGAATGCCGTGTGAAAAACTACCTTAACACGATGAACTATCCTATCTTTGTACAATACTTTACACTATCCTAACGATAGTTCATCGAGTTAAGGTAGTCTTTCGCACGGCCTTCAAGATAGGATAGATTGACGGCCATCGGCCTATTGAGATGAAGTAGCCCGGGCCATCGACTTGCATAGTAATCGAATGTTGTCGAAAAATAAGAATCAAATTATAGAGCTACACGGTTTCTTATAAATTCATTTACCAACTCCGGGTATAAACTATCTGTTTGCGGGAGCCATAAATCTTAAGCGAAGATCACACGATTTGCACATTTCTACAGATTCGTGTGATCACTGCTTAAGTTTTATATAAGAATGATACACATTATATGCTCTGTTTTATCATGTATAAGTCATTGACTTCATTATCATCAGAGTAATTTTTCATTATTCAAAGGGCCTTTTATAACTCTTTATCTATAGTACTCCAGTGAGTAGAAATAATATTTCTTTTATTACCCTATTAGCCTGTTCACACTGTCATGATATTCTCTGCATTCAAACCGGGTTAAGGCATTCGCACAAATCCATATTTGGCGCACAATAAAATTGGTTCTTGGCAGTGATTTAATAAATTCTGCAATGTGCATACAAACACGTGCAAATGTATATCGACATGTGTGTATGTATACATTAATAAAATTATAGAACTCTTATGTAGATATGAGATCGAATCTTTAAAGTCTTTTTAACGTATCCTACGCAGCTGTATTTATATGTGCATCGCGCAATAAATTTAATAATTGGCCTAGAAACGGCAAACTTTACGAAATTTGAAAAATGCTGACATAGTCTCTACTAACTTCTTGTATTGCTTTTGGCACATATAAATTTTTATTGGTGCAATTTAGCCTAGGAATTATGTGTTGGCAATTGTTGCACTACTAATTTTTTTATGGCAAAACTGATTTAAGTACAATACAAAAAAAACCAAAAACATTTTCTCATTTTTTTAATTGGAATCATCCAAGTAGTCTACTTAATGCTATTTTGTTTTTTTTTTTAGGTTTCTATTTGGGTGGGTCTAGCAGCTTGATGAAATTACATACCACCAAAATTTGCTTGAGTAAATCTGATATCTTTGTACACTAGCGGAAATTACTTGCTGAAAAACCACAATGAGCCACCCCCGAAAGACAAACAACATTTTGCTGGTACATCATCATTCATTTTATGCAGCTAAATATCAATTAAATATGCCAGTGCAAAATATTCGTACAGTGGCTGCAAATCAAACTCGGACAACAGGAATTTAAAAAATAAACTTGAACCGTGAAAATAATTGTGATGATGAAAAATTGGTTAGTTGGTTCATATTGTGTCACACAGTGAGGAAAAGCGAACTTTTTTGTGGCAAAATTTAATATCTCGAGGAAAAGTAGTCTTGTTGAATAAAAAAAATCCCTTGACCTTATAAATGACTTTAAAAAATAGATTTCCAATTTTTCCTGAAAACAATATGGAAAGGACTTTTTAAACCTTAAAGTTGTAAACATACTATCACTCAGATACAAAATTGTCTGTTGTGAGTGCCCTCTACAAGTGAGTGTCAGGAGAAGACACGTACCCCCAACCGAGGCGGTTCCTATTTAGAGAGAAGGTAAGTACTTTCATGTCCTTATCCTACTGAACCAATGGCTATCCCAAACGAAACTGAGGAGATCCAATAGTTCCACCTCCTTATCCTCCCATCTTGCAAACCCGGATATTGGTGATATTGGTCATCGGTAAATCATTCATGCTTTAGCACAGTGTCCCGTGATGATGCCAGTAGGGATTCTAACTGCAGATCTATTGAGTGTCAGAAGGTTCTCCATATTTTTCCTATTATTCCGTGCCTTTAATAATCTTGCGGTCTCGCCGTCTTCCCGTTTGTTCCTAAAGTCATTAGTAACCGCCATGTGCATTCATTAATTTTCCTAACGTGATCACTGAACGGTGGTAGCACAGCCATATCTAACCATCTCATGGCCGACTCATTCCCTCAAATGTTGCCATATTCGCGGACCCAGCATAGAGTGGCGCTAATACGATTTCCGATTTCACTAGATTAACAGCCGTATTCTAACAAAGTCACAAACTTTAGCTCATCACTGCTGTGATTTCTACTGCGTCTCAAAGTTTGCCGCTCAAAAAATATGCCGCTTCAATTCAATTTTTTAAATTTTTGTGTATTTTTCTAGCACTCATTTTTTGTGACACATTTCTCGGCGCACTTGAAATCACAACAGTGATGAGCTAAGTTTTGTGACTCTGTTAGAATAGAGGGGTAAATCTTATTGCTTCCAAGGCTGCTGGACTATCGTTAATATCTGGAACCATACTGCCAAGTAAAACACTAGCCGCTTTTCCTGTGGCGTGGATCTCGGCCTGGAGTAGAGACTGCCTCCCGTTATTTGCTCCATCAAGGTAAATGGAACCGAACAGGTATTGAAGTCCGAAACCGGCGTAATATAGTCCGTGCTGACTTGAATCCATTAATTTCATTCAGTTTTGCTGCATGCTACTCAACGCTCCCGATATTTCGATTCATTGAAGCCGCAGTTTAAAATCCAAATCATCTCATACAATATAATGCAAATGAGATCGCAGACCTTATAACATGGGGATTTTTTATGGCATGCTATGAACTTTCAAAAGGTAATTTTTTTAATTGGGTTTCACCATGAATTTAGTTGAAGTTGTGTTTTTCTGTAGCAAAACAACGTGGAATAATCTATTTTTGGGAATACAGTCATTTTTTCATAATAAAAAATATGCTGTTAAGAAAATTTAGCACCCGAAAACATAGAAGTGCTCTGTCTTTTGGATTGAAATCTTGTGCGATAGATCGCTCCGAGATAATTGTTCCGCATGGCATGTCACCCTATATGATCTGACCCATGGTTACCTATCAACGCCAATCCTTGTAATCGCAATCTTCCAATCCCCAGGAAATATAAGACCTTCAACGACAAATAGAGAAAAGAGTGAAAAAACATTTCTGCATGGATGCTGCTGCTCAGCAGCAGGTAGTATTTTCAATTATTTTAATTATATTCCCAAAAGGTCCCCTCTAAAGTCCAGCATCCGCGAAACCCTCAGTTTTTGCGTTTCCTGCCATTCAAAGTTTGCCTGCTTGGCTCTTATAGCTCTATTACACAGTAGGAATCTAAGTAATAGAACGGTTATAAAATTTGTTGCAACACTAAAGGCGAATTCATAATTTTAGTTCAGAACTTTTCTGCCATGTAGTTGTTGTTGCGTTTCTCTCTCAAAGAGAGAAATATAACCACAACCACATGGAAGAAAAAGTTCAGAACTAGAACGATGAATCCGCCTTAACCTCCAATGATTATATCTTTTAGATTCCAGAAAAAAACGACTTACATAAAGAAATGATGGGGTCGAGGGTGAGATTTTGTAAAGGTCATCGGGTTTTGTAACAATTTAGGAATCGTATGTGCAAAAAAAAAAGATATGTATCTATCACTAATTCTTTTTTTTCATCATCTTCAGGTTTAGTTTAGTGATAAAAGTACGTTGCACTTTCTCACTGACGCAGTAAGAGACATACATACATATGTAAGTATGTTTGAAGGCACCTAGGAGAAGAGCTGCTTGCTTAGTACATCCAGTATCCATCGGTTGTGGTGTGGAGAGCTATCAGCTCAGAGGGACCGGGGCCTCTTTACTTCGTGGAAGATGTTATGATTCAGAAACAATATTTGAAAACACAGAGAATAATGAAAATTCCTCCGTAACCGCAGCTCAGGAACTCTTCAATTTGAGTGTAACGAATACAAATACGAATATATATGGAAACGAAAACAAATAGTAAGAGCAGCCGAAGACTAATTCAAAGACTAATGCACGACAAAGACTCTTACGAGCACGAGTAAGAAGGCGACTGTAAATATGAAGACGAATATAAATAGAAAATGAGCACGAACGCAAAGGCGAGTAGGAAGACGAATACGAAGAATATATAAAGGCGTATATACATAAACACAAATACAAATACGAAGATGAATACAAACATGAATATTAAGACGAATGCGAATGCGAAAAGGCATAAGGAGGCGGGTTGTAATACGAATACGTAGACCAACCGTAGACGCATTTGGAGACGAATTCGAATTCGGAGATGAATACGAAGACGCCGATGAAGATAAATACGACGAAGAATACGACGACAATGCGAAGAGGAAAACGAAAACTAACATTAGGGCGAATACGATCTATAGACCAATATGAAGACAGCGACTAAAACAAATACGAAGTTGGGGTGGTACCGGGGAGATCAGTACATTGATGGTAGGAGAATTAGTGGGTTAAAGTCTCACATGAGGGGATTGGGGTTTAGGATTTCGATGCGTCCTCCTCTGAAAAAAAATAATAATAATAATAATAATAAAAATGCGAGGACTAATACGGGATGGCATAATGAAGGGACGACTAAGAATACGAAGAAGAATATGAATACGAAATGGAAGATTAAGTATTTAAAGTAATCCCTTCGTTTTAACCACTTGTCTTTGGAATCGATCATTTTTCAAAATGAGATTTAAAGATACGCAATTTCTCCTACAAGTAAGGATATGACAAAAAATAATGAGCCTATTCATTTGAAGTGGGGTGTATTTTTCAATGAGCCGGAAAATTATATTTCATGGTAAAAAAAATGTTCCAAAAAAATCGAGGCCTCCAACATAATCTCGCATAACTTCTCCACAATTGAAAGTCAAGTGATACATTCTACCAATTAATGCATTAATCACGCTCGCTGCATAAGACATTTGAAACTTTATTTGCCCTTATGACTACTTCATCGAGTCAAGTGACCCAAGTCATTATAATTAGGCGAAGGATTGTATGCAAATATTTACACATTTGCGTGGTGGAAATAATGGGAAAACAAAGAAGAAAAGTTTCTTGAACGCTTTCCACGTGTGTATGTGTGTGCGTGTGTTTGCGCTTGTGTGCATACAAATACATTGGCAAGCACGCACTTACATTATTATTATTCATAAATTCGCAAACTAAGCACTGCACACGAACGAGCAACAACTGCTGCGACAAAAAAAAAACCAAAACAAAAACAAAAACAAATAACGAAGAAAAACACATTTTTTGATGAAGGGGCGCCTACTCTTCATTAATGGTTAAGTCAAATTTCATAGTCTTAAGTCCACTCATACACATACATGCATATCCATGTAAATAAATTACAATTTATATGGCAACGAAGGAAGTGAGTTTTCTCTCTCTCTCTCTCTCTTTCATTCTTTCTCGCTCGTCTCAAAACGTTACAACGAATCGATACAAAATGTCCACGCATGTCGCCATTGCTGCTACAGCCACGAAAAGTCCTGCCTCATGGGTTCATGTCACGCTCATGCAGTTTATTTCGTAAAATTCAATACATATATGGACGAAATCCTACAGAGTACTTACTGCCAGCAGTTAAGACGTTGGTTGTGTAAATAATCCATACATATATATTTATACATATGTATATACAGATATTCATTTCCTTCGACACCAATTTTAACTGCGCTCAAGTAGCTGCACTGCACGGTCGGCTTTGTAAGACAATAAAGACAAATATACATATAAACATGCATAACATACGTACGCATATGCAAGTGGCCTTCAGCCTCCAACTACGCCCAAATTTAATATTGCACGAATATACTTATCCAATCTCGTGACTACAGCAGAGGGAGGCTTGCTGCATCGTTCAAAAATATTTATTTCTAAAACATGTTGGTACTTACTATATATATAGCGCGTTTTGATTATAATTATTTTAAGTTTATTTTCCCCCTTCAAATCACTGCAATAATGCCATTTTGTATTTGTGTTTTGTTTTTTTTTGTTGCCTTATTGTCGAATTATTGATTAATTTTCCATTTTATTAGTCACCACTGCACACAGTGTAGTATCAATAGCGGAAAGTCATGTGGCTGCAACCACGCAACGGCAAACAGTCACACACAGCCACACAGTCACACAATTCTTTTTGAAAATACTAGCACGTTTTCTGCATTGCAATTAATCTTTATAAGCCAAACGAAATTGGGCGACTTAAAAATATGCCTTTAATGACGTATTTATATAGGGGCACAGTTGACCGCTGAAAAGAGGAGGCCCTTAAACAAACACAAACACAAGCACACACATACACATGCAGAGAAAAAATTTGACCTAAATATTAACCACCTTTTATGCTTTGCTCGAGGATTTCGTTAGTTTTTTCCCCCTTATTTCGCCTGCTTCACCAAAATTGCATTATTATTATGCGCTGACTTTATTACATTTTCATATTTTTTTAACAAGTTTTATTTATGCCAAATTTTAAGCGAACATTTTTCGAATAAATTGCTTTGCTCACTCACAACTTTCTTCAATGTCCAATAAAATATTAATCAAGTAAGTAATTGATATCACAAAAAACATGCTTTTTTACCTTATTTTTTTTTGCTGCGATGCGCACAAAATTCACAAGACAATCAATTTGGTTTTTTTACTTAATTGCACAAAATTTTTTGTTTTTTCAATATTTCACAATTTTTTTTTTTTTAATTTTTTTTTGGTATTTTCTTTGTTGTTGCTCTACATGCACTATACTATTTGGTTGTTATGCTCATTCTCTTTTTAATTCTTCTTTTATGAACAATAGGCATCCGCTTAATTTTCTCGACAAGTTAACGCTCCTTGACTATGCAATGCGGTCTGAGTTATTCCTGCTCGTTAAAATTATTCGCAACCTGCGACGAATCTGTGCTTTCCACTATCGACTCTCCAGTATGATGTTTTTGAATAAAATATGAATTAGAAAGCAAGCACGTATAGAGCGCATGGCGTAAAGTGCACATGAGCACAGTATACGGTGTTGTAAATCCCAAAAATTTTTGCGAAAAACACAGAGAGAAAATTTGCATGCCTTGAGGTAATATACAGCTGTGAACGAAGAAATAGTAATTTTGCGTTTGTCACTGCTGAAAATGATAAAGATAATCGAGATAGTAGTTCGAGAAGATAGTGTGGACTAGTCAACAAAAGAGTTCATGACTATATATATATTCAGTTTATTCGGGTAATATCTATCGCATGGGAACATATTTGTTGTTACCAGCAATACCAGGCTGCTCCAACATTGCCTAAGTCACTGTCTTCATACTTCGTTCTCGTATTAGTCTTCGCGTTCACCGTCGTGTTTATTTTAGTCCCTATATTTCTATCTATTTTCGGAATGTATCCGCATTAGTTTTCGTATTCATATTCGTCGTCGTTTTCGTATTCGTTTCAGTGCAGTCTTTGTATTTGTCTTCGCCATCATCTTCGTATTGCTCTTCGTATTCGTGTTTGCCTTCGTTACGTCCTCGTCCTCGTATTCGAATTAATCTTGATATACGTCTTCTTGTTCGTCTTCGTATTTCAACTCTCTTTACTCCAAATTAGTCTTCCTATCTATAAATATTTACTTATTCGTATTCGTCTTCGTGTTTGTATACATATATCGGATCGTATTTGTCTTCGTTTTCATGTCCTTGTTCGTATTCGTATTCGTATTGGTCTTCGTATATACCTACTCGCCCTTGCATTCTTGTTCGTATTGGTGTGCATAATTAGTCTTCGTATTCATCTTCCTACTCGTGTTCGCATCCGTTTTCGTATTCGTGTTCTTCGAATTCGTCTTCGATTACTCTTCGCATTTGTTTTCTTATTCGTACCTGTCTTCCTCTTCTTATTTGCTTTCGCGCGGGATCGCTAGACAACTAAATATCCAATTTCAAACAATTTTATGACATTTGGAAAAGATTTGATACAGAGACATAATCGAGGTTTGGGTTCTTTACGAATGAGCGACAAGAAATTTTAAGAACAGAATTTCCACCAGTCTCCTGGCGGAGATCTTCACAGAATAGGTGAACACATTCCGTAAAACCAACGGATGTCATCTGAGCCGTCACATAAAAAGTATTGCCGCTAATCTCTTCATTGAAAATGTCAATAGAGTACGGGGTTTTTCTTTTCGATTTTGTCATCACAAATGTCTTTCATTGTTACTTTGAACCAAAACAAAAATAAGAAATTCTTATAGTTGGCCGTAAAAGTGCTAAGGCGTAACTTAACGAAGAGAGCACGAGACTTTTGGGGCATGCGCCATGCCATACGAAAAGAGGTCCTCTGAGTTTGTTGCTCTCAATATGCTTGGCATAATTTGGCTTCAAACAGCATGAATTAAAATGAATAAAGTACACTTAGTTACACTTAAATGCATTAGGGTGGCAGTGCTGTGGGACATTTGCCAAATAATTCTTTTTTGCGATTCAATGAAATTCAATTAACGTTTTTTGCTACACAATCGGCAATTAACCATGACTAGGTATTGGGTATAATTAATTAAACTGATTATCTATGCATTCAAGGATTTATTCAATCATGCCTAAAATTTGTGTCATCTTTCTCGTATTAAAAGGTGGAATAAGCGCTCAAGGATTATGGGTAGAGTTGAAGATGATTTATTAAAATTTGCTAATAGACAGCCTAGAAGAGATTGTGTGACCGATTCCATTAGAAGCATGTGCTGGTGTAAATAGTAAGGTGAATTAAGATGAGTTAAGAAAAAGGGAATTTAGGCGAGTTGAAGTGAGTTTAGAAGAGATAAAAGAGGTGAATTGAGTTGAGTTAAGTTGACTTGAATCAGTTCAGTTCAGTTCAGTTGAGTTACTGAATACCAGAAACAACCTTGAAGTGCATCGTAGTACTCTTGGCAAACTGGAACAGTTTATTGCACCCTGCTTTGGCGGCGGCTTCCAGATTGGGCAGAATCCGCAGTCCGCTAAGAGCGGGACACTATAAAAGGATATATTCCACTGTCTCCTCTTTCATTATACATCTCCAAGACATTCTATCATTGATAAGAGCCAGCTTAAAGGCATGCAATGCCAGCAGGAAATGTTCCGTTAGCATAGCGGCCCCCTTCGAGGTATAGGAGAAACTCGTGAACTTCACTCCTGGACGCTCCGCAGCCTTATGTTTTGGCCCATACCTCCTGTGTGTTCTGGATTATGGACATGTCGAGCTCCCGTTTGATCGCTTGCCAGGGAATTTATTTAGATTCGCATTTCTGAATCCGAAGGTATACATGTATATGTATCTCCGTAGATGTGACTTACTCCTAACATCAGCTCTCAGTTGACAAAGTAATATTTTTTGTTTATCGATAAGCGCGCCTTAATTAGAGCAAAATCTTTTTTACTTTTGATTTACAAATAAATCACCAAACATTTTAGTAAGCAATTGCAAGCTCTTTTCAATCAAGATTTTGTAACACATACTTATGCTTAAGTTGCAGAAACCTCTCTGCTCTGCGACATACATATATCTATATACATATGTACACACATTTATGTACATTAGGCTAGGTCGTGGTAATGTTTGTAATTTCCAACCGCTTCCCCATTGTTTGGAAACTTACTACATTGAGAAGATTTAAGCGTGCCGATTTTGAACACTGTTTTTGATTTGTTATCCGATTTCAAAGTAAGACAAATTTTTGAATTGGGGACGTTTTTAATCAATAGTTTTGTGGAAAGCAACAAAAATTTAGATAGCTGGTATTTTGGAGATCTCAACATCTCCTCATAAGACTTGTTCATTGAGTTCACTGGGAAATTAGTGAATCAAACTTTTATTAAGCAAAAAAATAACAGAAATAAAAAAGTCGGTTCGCGCCTAACATTTTTATTTGGTTTTTTAATGTACGTTGATTTTTTTAATTATAAAATAAATCAACAAACTTTCATCATATTTTCTAGTATGCAGTTTATAGCCCATAAAGTTTTAATATAAAAAGTAAAGTTTGATATCGCCGGAAAGTGCAATTGATTTAAAAAAATTGTTTATTTGTGCCCGTTGATCGAATATTTGAGTATAGGGATCTACCCAACGATCGCTGAAATATTTTTGTATTTTTGTTTAAATTTAAGTTTGAGTTTAAGTTTGATGTTGCCGGAAAGTATAATTGATTTAAAAAATTTTTTTTTTATAGCGATCGACCCAACCTAAGGCACATGCTGCCAGCCAAACGCTGAAATATTTTCGTATTTTTGTTTAAATTTAAGGTCTTTGCTTCGATTGGCGATTTCGAGAAGAAGAAAACAAATGAAGTAGCTTTTCGGTAAAAAACTTGGACTGCGCTTTTGCAGACTTGACCACTTCGTACACCAAACAAGCTTAGGTAAATTTATATGTATGTGCATATGTAGGTGCATTTAACGTGTTCAGAGCGTCGATCTTAGTTTCAGCCATTCCCACGCAAGCTTACAAACATACATACATACATATTTAAGCATATCCATTGAATGCCGGACAGGCTTAAAAAGCGTCATGCTTGTGGCCACTATTCAGATACACATTAGATTTGCCTTAACGCTGAACGGAACGCAATCAAGCGTTTTAACAACTTTGGAAACAAATTATCAAATTGCAGTGGGCAAACTTAAAACAAAAACAAAATACCACGAATCATAATACATAAATACTCGTAATAACAAATTGGAAATTACACTTTTTTACCAAAATATTTGAAAATACGTAGTGTGCGAAATGCGTTATTTGTGCAGCGTTCTTTGGCTTTTAGTGGCTCTAATAAGTTTGGCAAACGCCTTTCCGGATGGTGCACCGGCTGATACTTGTGTGAAACAACGTGCAAATCAACCGAATCACGGAAAGGCGCGCACTCAGCCAGCACACACAAATCCTTATGAAGTTGTTGCCAATTCGGAAAGTTTTCATCCCGGTCAGGAGGTTTCAGGTGATTGTAAATTTTGCTAATCAAACGAGATTGCTGACATATACATAAAATAAAAAGTGATAGTGCTATTAAAAAAAAAAAATAAGTGATAAACTTTCCAAATATTTCACTATCCACCAAAATAAATTTTATGCGTACCTAGAGATTGTCAGGCTGTGTGGCATCGCTTTTGTCGTCAACGACTAGGGGCTCGTCTTCATCTTCTCCTATACTTTCAGTGTTGTTACCATTCAATGTGGTGCTAAAGTGTTGCCTCAATAATTTAAGTACTTTGTGAACTTCGATACCTAGGTCACCATGGTACCTTCCGGAAGTCACCGCCCTGTAGGCGACATCTTTTCTCTCTGCAGCTTCACGGCATTCCTCACAGTACCAGTTGTTCTTTCGAGTTCGCTGAAATCCGACTACTTCCTCGGCGGCGCACATTCGACTATTTGTGTAATAAAAATGGTCAAAATTCAGATATATCAACTTTAATAAAAGTCTCTTTAAAGCTACCAATGGACAGCCATACAAGTCCCCATTTTTTCTTCATCTTTGACGTACGAATAATTGGTTTTTGTTTTCTGTGCTTTAAATAGCTGCATTTGTTTCTTGCTTTATTATTTTTTTGTGAAACAATCTTTAAAAAAAAAAACTAATAGACATTTTCTTTCTTTTCTTTTCTGAGGATCTTTGGGAAATTTATTTTAGTATAATTTTTCAAAGGAATATACATACATTGGATTCTGCTATTTAAAGCTAAAATGTAATATCCTTGAAATGAGATTTCAACTAAAAATGTGCAACATCAAATAATTAAAAAGCTGTAGGTCTGACCTTTAATTAGGTAAGAATAACGAAACGATTGTGTATTATTTGTCAACTCGATGCATCGGTATTTTTTTTTTTTACTTTTTGTAAGATAAATTTAATTGATCCGTTTTCTCATAAAACACCTAATTGTGTTTAAGTTGCGTATTTTTTTTTATTACTT